CACAAGGCAGGTTGGTTGCATGACACATGGGTCTGGGGGGTCCTCATGGCCCCCTGTGGGACACTCCAGGATGCTCAAAAACTGAGGGCCTCTGGCCATCAAAAGTGCCTACCCGCTGGAGCCTGCCAGGGCCCCTCCCACCCAGGAGCAGCCCCCTCAACATACAAGTCACTGTAGCCCAAGACTGGGGTTTCTTCTGATGATTCATTCTTAAATGGATGGGGTTGAGAAATGAGCCTCTGGTGGAAAAATCTCCACTGTGAATCTTGGTTTTGCTATTGACCAGCTCTGACTAGAAAAAGCCTCCCTGCCACACCCACCCCCCATTCCACCCTGTTTTCTCATGGCTTTTCCTCAGCAGTAAAGTGACCATGAAAAGAAGTAAAATGGGCCACAGTGTTTCTGCATAACAGGCACCGGTCACCACTGGGTTGAAAATGGGGGTTCAGGGCCTGCCCTGAGGCCGTCTTGGCTTGGCATGGTCTCTACCCTGTGTTGTGTGTTTACCTGGAGTGACTTTGGAAGCACTGAAGCGACAGCCTTCATGGAAGCAGCTTCCCCCCATGCCTCGGGACAGCACCCAGGAGGCAGATGGACATACGCTCCCCTGAGCTGGTCCCTGCGTTGCGAACTCCCCTCAGCAGTGTTTCATCCATCTGCCTATTCTGCCCCCACTCTGTCTCTGGTGAATCTTCTTGCCCCTCACACCTTTGGCTTGTACCCCCCAGTCCTTGCATGCATAAAATAAATCTTAAAAAAAAACCCACACAGCCTTGTTCCCCTGCACCCTGAATTTTAGCTTCATCTTCTGCAGACACGCTGTGGATGGGGAGGAGAGCCAATTCTTGCCTCTAGAAATTTACAGTGCAGAGGAGGAAGGACAGATATTGAACCAATAAATGAATTGAACCAAGAAATGAATAAGTAGATTTGTCTGGTGATGTAAAGAAAAATTACAAAGGACGGGATGGCCAGCTGCATCAGACACCTCCCACCTGAAATCCCAGGAGTGTTCTCAGGAGAGGGATGCACCAGAGAAAATCCCCCAGAGCCACCAGCATAAGCGCTAAAGAAATTCCCATCATGTATGTACCGCCAGCCTCACAAGTGTCAGGCTCAAATGCAGAATGGAAGCTTTTGTATAACTGAACTAGTTAGGTAAGAGGCTGGCACACTTCTGTACCGGGCCAGATAGTAAATATTTTAGATGCTGGGGCAACTCTGTCGGGGTCACAGCTCCTCCTCTCCTCAGTTCTGCCCCTGTAACTGGAAACAGAGACAGAAGGGAAACACATGGAAATGGCTGTGTTTCAATAAAACGCTACTGACAAAAACAGACAGCTGCCTGCCCACATTTCCCAGCTCCTGAATTAGGCTGAAAATTAATAGGACAGTGAAGGAAGCACAAGGCTCACAGAGCAAGGAGTTCAAGGAAAACACAACCAGCAACATGTCCTGGCTGGTTTGCCACCATGCAACACATCCCAGCAGCAACATGGAAGGAAGCGGAGAGAAAGGACCAGCCGGGGCTCCGTGCCCAAAGAAAAGGGTGTCGAGGTGCGGGGTCGCAGGAGCACGGGAAGCCAGCCTGGTGCAGAGGGGGGCCGGCAGGAAGACTGTGCCTCTTTTGATCCTGGGATGTGGTGACAGAGGCACAGGGGCTGGGCTCATGGGCACGACGTTTGTGCCCACGGTGTTTGTCATCCTGATCAAAACCAGAATGGAATAAAATGGGTTGGTGGTTTTCAAGATAATTTTTTAGATGCAGTCAGCAAATACTTAAACAGGGTCTGTGATGTCGGGGGCCACCGAGGTATATGGTGGCAGCAACGGCAGTCCCTGTTGGAGAGGCTTGTTGAGTAGAATGTCATTATTTTTATTTATTTATTTATTTTTATTAATTTATGCACACAGGAATGGGGGTCCAGGCCAGAGGTGCGGGGGTTCACCAGAGACGAGAGGGGGGCAGAACAGGCAGGTTGAAGTCCACTGCTCAGGGGAGCAGCGGGGGCGGGGGGTCAGGAGAGGCCTGCTGCGCCCTGTGGGTCCCTCCCTGGCCGGGGACGTTGTGCTGAAGCAGCTGCCACTGGCTTTGTAGAGCTGCGCCTCAACCCGTTGCACCACCAGGCCCCATCTTAACCATTTTTACGTGCAGTATTGTTTCCTGTCACTTTTCGGCTTTTTGTTTTTGAGCTGAACATTGGTCAGCTCCACCGCGTGATTTAAGGAAACAAGTTCACACATCCTCAGTGGCTGTCACCACACCAGGCCTTCCAGCAAAGCAGACTGGGCTGCCTTAAGTATGCTGTTGAGCAGCTACCCTCCAGAACCCTCTCACCTACAAACAGACCACTCTAGATTCACAGACACAGCTGCTCCATTCCTCCCCTCACCCCCTCACACCACATACTTTCTCTAACTCGACTCTTGTAGGAACTTCATAAAAATAAAATCTGCAGCATTTGTCTTTTTGTGATTGACCTATGTCACTTGGTATAATCTCATCAAGGTCACCCAAGTTGCGGTCAGAGTACCCTATTCAAGGCTGAGTAATATCCCTCTGTGTACCCCATTGTATGGGCCATTCGTGCGTCAGTAGCTACTTGGATGGCTTCTACCTGTGGTTATTGTGGATGCTGCTGCTGTGAACACTCAGGTGTGCAATCTCTCTTGAAGACTGTCTTCAGCTCTTTGGGGGTGTACACAGAGCAGTGTGGCAGGGCCACATGGCCTTCTCTTCTTTAGCGGGTGCTCTTGCATGTGCCACACCCCTCCAGGTGATTTGCCTTTAAGAAGTCCTTTAATCACAGATCAAGAGGTCTACAAGAAACCCAAAGGTAAAAGATCAGAAGCAATTACAATTTATGGTTGTTTTTTTTTATACATACGTACCTGTGGCCCTCGATACACATGCAGGTATGTAGGCCCACCTACAGACGCCAGCCAAATGCTGGCAGGGGATGAACGGGAGACTTAGCTTCTTATCAGCGACTGTGTCTGTGTATTGCTTTTATAAGGAAAATACTTGTGAACTGTGTCTGCACACAAGTTACACAACAGCACACTCGCAAAAACGAACTTGGATCACGGGTTCCTGGAGTTCAGAGCACTTATCTTGGTGTGCAAATTCCAGCTGGCTCAGTACATAGTTTTGTGACCTCAGGCAAGAGTGGCTTTGGGATTCCCCCAGGGTGACGGCAGCCACAGGGTCACCTGGCCATGTCTGGATAATTCTGGTGGTCAAAGTAGGGGGGACAGGGGCGCTGCTCGCATGCGGAGGCCGAGGCCAAGGCCATACACACACATTGGACATCAACCCCTGCGGGGACCGCTATCAGCCCGCTGCCCCAGTCCCGGGCCGAGGCTGACCTGCTCTGGGGAAGGGGTGAGGCTCCCCCTGCGGCATGCAGCCACCTGGGGAGCGAGTGCTTTGCTGGCACAGCCCCAGGCACAGAACCACCCTCAGTAAGTGGAAACCGCTATTTTTAGGACTGGACATCCCCAAATTAAAACAGAATTTTGAGTGGGGAGGAAATAGTACTGGGATTCAAGGGCACGGAATTCCAGCTCAGGTACCTGCTGGAAGGGAGCCTTGGGCTTTTCAACAACGCTGGTGGTGTGAGGCCGTGAGCAGGGCGGGCGACGCGCCCCTAGTTCCTCCTGGGCTGCCGGGCTTCTGAATTACAGCTCTGCGTGTGCCGCGCTGTCTGGTGGGTGTCCCCCCCGCTGGAGACCACACACGGCTTCCTGCTACGGGAAGCCCAGACCCTAACCCTCCCGGGTTTCAGAACCTTCCTCCAGCTGCAGCCTGTTTCCCCTCCAAGGTAAGCGCAAGCATCACCTCCACTCACCCACTCACAGCTGCTGGTCTCCCCCTTCCTCGGCCCACACACTGTCCCCCCTCCGACTCAGCACCAAGGCCCTTGCGCTCTCTTGCGTCCTTTGGTTTCCATGCGCTGGCCACCCTGTTGGTCATTTTCTTGACAGTCCCGTCCCGTTCGCACCCGCTCTCCTCCTGGCCACCCTGCCTACCCACCCGCCTGAACCATTCCCCAGTTCCAGAGGCCTTGTCGGGCCGCCTTCTCTCCCTGTGTTCTTTGCTCTTTGAAGGCCCTCATCAGGTTATCTTCCCTTATCTCCCGCACCCTGATACCCGCAGATCCACCTACGGGCCCTCCCTGAGTCCTCAAGCCAGAATGTGGACAACTGCTTGGTTTTCCCCAAATTCTGCATGTTCACCCGGGGTTATGGCGCCTTCCCCAAGCACCTAGCCCAGGCAGCGTGCCCACCTCAGGACATCCTGCACCCATGCAAGTGGGGGACAGGGCTCCAAGGATGAAGGCCAAACTCACGGTGGCCCACAAGGCCCTCACTGCCCTGTTCCAGCCTCGCTGGCTTCTGCCCCTGCGGCTCCCCAGGCGCCCTGACTCGACTGTCTCCCCTCAGCTCACCCACCAGCCTCAGGCTCTTCTTTGCAGCAATGACGGTGCTGTAACCTTCACCCTTCACGGAGGTAGGTGGGGCAGGCAGAGAAAAGGACAACCAGCTTTATGAGGCCACTGACCTTGTCTTATTTCACAAATAACGGTAGTCACAGGGCACAGACCTTTAAGCTCAGCGAATGTTAGCAAGTGGTAAACACTGAACAAATAAAAGTTGCGATCACGGTCTGGAAGGGGCAGACAGCAAACTCGAGCGGCCCCAGAGGACCTTCCGGAGCCACTGCCGGCCCTCAGCCGCCTCTTGTCCAGCTGTCTAAGAACTCGAGGGCTATCACCTGGGCCAACTCTTGAAAGAAAACCCAAGTGTGGGTGGATACAGTGGGAGTCAGGCTTCAGTGACCGGGCTGGGTGTCCACTCGCTGGCCTGGTTGTGGGGCCAGGTGTCCGGAACTTCCCTCAGGAACCACCTGAGGTCAGCGGGCTGCTTGGAGGGAACGCCCAAGAGCTGAACCCCCAGAGAAAGGAGAGACCCCAAGAAGTCAAATGTCCTAGCCAGAGACGACCACCAAGGTTTGGTTCTTGAATATGTATTTTTTACTGAAAAAATCATTCATAAATTAACATACAAAAATGTACAAACACATGAGAGTAAATAATGTAATGACAAAGGACTATTTCTGTGAAAAGTTTTAAAACATCTTTAGATTTCAGTGCAAAAATGTATCCCTGGCACCTCTTAAAACATAATAGCAAGCTCAAAAAAAAAAAAAAAACTCAAAAAACGTAGTGATGGAAGTAAGCTAGCTACGTTCAACGCCATCATCAGTGAGAGCATGTGGCTGTCGCTCAGCTATTCGTGTCTGTGTAGAAGAACTCTAACAGAAGCGTCCCTGTAATGCCAAATGAGTGTTTTTGCACATAACTCCCTCCCCCAAGAAACAGCGTGAAAGGGGAAACTCTTCCTGTGCGCAGCAACCAAAGACAAGACTGACTGACGTGAGGGTCACCCAGCAGCAGCCTGAAAGAATTTCAGCTGCCAAAAAACGCACTAGATCACATTTGGTTCTTATTATTCCTTCCACCCCCTTTACCAGGAGGATTTTACGCTGTTAATAGCACAAGGGCCCAGTTGTATTTTTAACGTTGCTATTTCTCATACGAGACCCAGCTCGGCGGGTAACAAACAGTGCACATTACTCGCTTTTGTGCTAATGACAAACTTACACATGATTGCAAGATAATTTAAGGGACTCTACTTCTTCAAGCTGATCTGTGCTCAGATCAGCATTTCCTCTTTAGAACCACTGGCAGCCTTTTGCCGACATTTTGTCCTTAGTGGTAAGTGTTAATAACGAAAGCTTCAAACGAGACCAGGCAGCAGCGATGTCCTATCACCCGTAACCAGGAATCGCTCTGCAAATTCTCCCAAATGACAGAGTCCCGTCACTCGGAAAGCAGCTCTTGGCCTTCAGTGACGAGAGGAGAATGAGAGGGGTCGGCTGGGGGGAGAGGGTTATTGCTCTGCGCACCGTACATCAAAGGAAACAATGAGCTCGAGTGTGTGATGTTCCCCATGAAGGTCTGTTAAAGCATGAAATGCTCAAGATTTTTTAAAAACATATGATACAACTTACCAGCGTTTTCAAGGGCAGGAGCCTGCTCTCTCATATGAGCTGATAAGAGCTTTGCAAGGTAACTGATTTTCTAACTATCACACTATTCTTCAAAAGAACAAAAACGAGACAAAAAATAGGGCCTGGCCAATCACTCCCACAGCTTGTGGGGATCATATGTCCACGGAACCAACACATGCAACGGAAAAAACCCCAACCCACACACATATACACAAATACCCCCTGCACACGCATCCATGTAAACCATGAAATTAAGAAAGTTGAAGGCAAACAAGGCAATTAAAAAAAATATGAAGTACTCTTCAAAAGTCCTCCTAATCACAATATATAAATATGTTTTATGGAGGAGGGAAAAACCGGCATTTCCCTGCTCCCCCCAGAATTCTGCGGAAGCCAGGGACGATGCGTGAAGGGAACTGGCTCAAGGTAAAACAGGCACAAACCCAAATGCAGTTTAGAATCTTCTGACCTCAAAAAGCACAGTGGAGCAGAGGCTCCGGCTGCAGCCTCCGCCCTCCCGCCCAACCCTCCAGAGCTTGGCTCTTCAGGGTTCAAAATTGCTGGCTATTTCTATGCACAACTGGTGATGCCGACAAAGAATCCAGAAACCACTGAGGGAAACGCTTGGAGGAATCACGAAGCTACTTGGTAATTCAGGCACAGGTTTTAGAGAGTGCGGCAAGTTCCACAAGGGGAAAAGGAGAAAGAGAAAGAAACCGGTAACCTCTGTCTTTACAAAGATGACAGGACAGAAACCCAAGGCCAAGGACCCAGGGGTGTGTGCAGTGGGCCCCTGGGGAGTCTGCTTCAAGCAGGAGGGAGACGGGGAAAACAGCAGCCTCCTCTCAGCAAAAGGCCGAGGGCCCAGCAGGGAGGGCGGGGCGGAGGAGGCACCACTTGGGGAAAGGGGAGGGCAGCGGGCGAGAAGGCGGCAGCATGCGGCTGCACCGGCCACCCTCTGGCCCGAGAGGCGCCCGCCCGTCCAAAGTGACAGCAGTTTCGGAGATGATGTTCTTCTGGTGTGTTTAAACTGAGTTCCTGAATTTGCCAACCAAACATAAGTGATCTAACGTATAAATCCTCAGTTTGAATTGGAGCCAGCTATAAAATTAAATTTAAAAAAGGCATTTTACATGGCTTATTTACAATTATACTTCTTCAAGAAGTGATTGTTATAGGTCTATTTATCTTCCCCTGCCCTTCCCCCTCCACCCTCCAACCCCACCCGAAGCAGGTAATTTTTTTTTTAATGAAACCAAAGAGAACACCAAGATGTAGACGAATGGTGTGTGGAGTTTCATCTGCTTTTCCTGAAACGCAGCTGCCCTGTGGCGGGTCTGCCTCTGCGCCGAAGGCGAGAAGCCCCCGCGGCGTCGGCTGACCAGGCTCTGCAGCAGGACCACGGCCGGCCTGGAGACGGCGGCTGGGAGGGCGCTGGGGCGGGAGACGGCGGGAGAAGAGCCAGACCGCGCTGTCTCGGAGTGGAAGGCTGGCTCCGGCGGACGCCCCGTTCGCTGCTGGCCGGCCGGAGGGCGCGCCCCGCGTGTGCGAGTCACGTTCCCGGACCCTGTGAGCCTCGCTAGATGCTGCATTTCTGTTTCCCTCTGGGGAGAGCCCCGGGACGCCTCGTCGGGCTGCTTCCTTGGTGGCGGTGGGCACAGCGGCCACACCCCACCTCAGTACTCGGTCACCTGAGCCAGCTCGGGTGTCAAGTTGACAGTGATGTTTTTATACAAGGCGTCGTATGTGACGTTTGCAAAGTAGTTCAAGTTGTTGAGGCCGTCCACCACCTGCCGCTCCTTGGACTTCCTCAGCAGAGCGTACCTGCGTGAGCAGAGACGAGAGGGAGGCCCCGAGTGAGCCCCGAGCCCCGGCAGATGGGGCGTGTCCTGGAGACTCGGGCCCACCCAAGTGGGGCTTCTGGGCCCTGGGGTGGGCAACTGGCCCGTCCCTCGACTCCTGGCCAACTGGTCAACCACTGTTGTTATCAGCAGCGCCGGCTCCACGCCAGACACTCACTGATTTCATTTCACGTGAGCCAACAGGGAAAGCAGGACAGTCGAGGCTGGAGCACCGGCCAGAGGGAGGGTTGTGGCAGGAGAGAGCACCTCGGGCAAGGAAGTCCAGGGTGTAGTCTCCTCTCCGCAGACAGGGCCTGGCCCTCAGCAGAAGCTGTCTGGAGCAGCCCCCCAACCCCCGCACCAGTGTGCACGACCCCTGAAGCTTCCCACTTATCCAGAGGGCAAGGAGGCGGCTGCAGACAGACAGGCGCCCAGGGGCCCTTCCAGAACCAGCGCCTGAGGACGGGTACCAACGCTCGCGGACCTGTCAGCCAAGTCTCGGGACTCGTCTCCAACACGGCTGCAGAAGACTGTAGGGGCTCTCCAAGAAGGGGGGCTCCTTAAGGGCTTAATGTCACGTCTTTCACAGGTGGTCTGATTTCACCCCAAAGGTCTACCCTCTCCGTGACAACAGGAAGGAGCTGTTAGAGCGGGACCTGGGGGCGGGCGGGTAGGGGCTGGCGTCGGGGGCTGCAGCAGAGCATCTGCAAGAGGAGCGAACATGCACCAACCTGCCAAGAAACTGGACCTCTCCGCGGTGGTGATGAGGGATGGACTTGTACTTCCCCGTGTCGCCCTCCGGCCGGCTCACAGAGTAACCTGCGTTCTGTACTCTGTGCGGGACAAGGGGGCGCGGTCAAGGCCCGCAGAGGGCCAGGCCACGACACGCACGCGGCTCACACTCACCGCCTGCCGTTGCCAGAACCTTCCCGACTCACCCGTCGGACAGACCCCAAGGCCGTTTCAGCTCAGCCATGCACTTAGTCAGACGCTAACTGAGCAGCTCAATGAGCGACGTGGCCGGGGCTGAGCGGCCACCTCAGGGCCTGCCCCCTCCACCACACCAGTCAGCCGAGGTCCCCGCCCGTCCGCTGCACACATCCGGACCTTTCTGCTGCCTGCCCTTGAGCTCACAGCTAAGAATTCGGTATCTAAATTAACAAGCAGAGTGCAAAGAGCCACTTCCACGAGAAGTAAGCTGACTGCTTTGAACTTTGATAAAGACATGCTGACTTAAAAAATCTGGGGGCCACGTGTGGCTACTGAAGGGCGCACTGCAGCATCAGTGTAAACGGCCGACATGTCTCCTGTCGGTGAGAGTTTAAGACAACGGGCACACTAACTCCCCCTTCGGGGAGCGGGTCTTTTTGCAACTGGTTGTTGGAGGAAGATTTGGCAGGAACAATCAGCATTTAAAAGTGCATCTACTTCTTGACTCTGTAGCCGCACAACTAGGAGTTAAGCTACAGAATATTCTAGACGTGACCAAAGGATGCTGTGAACAGTACCTGTTCCACAGGTCGTCATCTTCGCCTCCCCAACCCCAGAAAGCGTTAGGAAAGCCATTGATTTTCCGAAACTGTTCCACTGTCAAGCCACTCACTCCACCAAAGAACTCAGCATAAGGAAGCCTGAGAAGAGATGTATCGTGTCTGTCATCTGTGTATAAGGGTGACTTCCCGCCCCTGTCCCCCCCCAGCCCCCCCCAAAACAGGCATTTGTCCTTACTGGAGAACTAAAACTTAAGTAAAGCAGCTCCATGTCCTGCAACCTGAACCATCTGAAATGGTTTCATTCAATAACTCCATTTCCTTCTAATAGGATTTTTGCTAGCTTTACTGACACACAACTGACATACAATTCATCCATTTCCCCCGTAACCTCACATAACCGCTAGTTTTACTTCTGTCCCTTATCTATTCTAGACATTTCCTATCAGTGGAATCCTTTTTTTAAGTGGTCTTTGTTCTAGCAAACTTTTTCTAATCACTTAGCATAAAGTTTTCTAGGTTAATCCAGATTGTCACAAATATCAATACCTGACTGCTTTTTACTACCAAATAATATTCTGCTCTATGGACAAACCCTACTGTGTGTATCCATCTTCAGGTGGTGGACAGCGGGGTTGCAGCTAACTGGATTTGGCCTTCTCTGCATCTCTAACTATCCTTCTAGACATAACCTCTTTAATTAGGCAAAGATGATACTCACAGATACATATACTTATCCAATTTTGTTGCAAAGTGCCGTGGCATCTGCCCACAGCCGTAGTAGTTGCGATCACTTTCTGGTATATGATCCACATCATGGAAAATCAGACAGTCCCAGTCCAAGTCTTTCATGGCTTCTTGAAAGCCGACATTGAAAAGCATGGCTCGGTTAAAGGGCTGGGTGCCGACCTACAAGAAGTAGAACTTTATTAATTTTTTTAAAGATGTATTTATTTATGCATACAGAACTGCAGGGGTGCAGGGGTGGTGAGAGGATTCACCAGAGACAGAGTGGGGGGCAGAATAGGCAGGTCGACGAAGTGCACTGCCGAGGGGAGCAGCGGGCGGGTCATGCCGCGCCATGTGGGTCACCTCTGGGGTGGGGATCAAGTTTATGCTGATGTGGCTTTAGCTTCTTAGTGCTGTGCTTTGCCCTGCTGCACCGCCAGGGCGGGCCCAGAACTTTATTTTTAAAGGGACACTGGCCGCCTCAGGCCTGAAGCAGAGCTACTGAAACTGCCCTGGCGAGATCATGGGCCGGAGCAAGATACCCCAGCGCCACTCATCACAGGCTTCAAGTCACTTGACCTCTGGACTCAATTTCTTTAGAAATAGGTGGGGTGATTGTGTAAGTCCACACTTCCCTCTCCGAGGCTATGGTAAGGGCTGACGCTCAGCAGCACCAGACGAGAGCCCGGCCCCAAGCGGGGAGAGAACAAGGTGCCTCGTCACTCACAGCCCCTTGTCTTGTGGGAGCTCCCTGGGCCTCGAGCCTCAGGACACCGTGCGCAGTAAGCAACGCAGAGGCCTCTGTTCACGGTGAAAAAACAAAAGCTCCATCCCCGGTGAGAACTTGCCAACCTCGAACAGCGTCTCAAACCACGAACCCCAAAAACACTCTCTGCTTCTCTCCCCACGTGAGGTGACTCAGCAGTAAGATGCCAGTGTGGCTCCTCACACCCAAGATGGATTAGCTGAAACGCTCAAAACTGCCGTCTCGGGAGACAGAGAGGAGGCAGCAAGGGCCACTCACTTGCTCCACCACGTAGAACGCAAACCGCAGGCGCTGGCGCTGGAGCATGGGGATCAGGTGTCGGAGCAGGACGGGCAGGTGCTCGTGGCGGTTCCGGAAGGGGACGAGGATGGCCACCTGGAGCAGAGCGGGCAAGAGGCGCCGGTCAGCCCCTCGGCGTCTGCTTTGCAGCGAGACGCCCCTGCAGCACGGGCAGCCAGCGGCCGGGCCCGGGCCGCTCACAGGACTGGCGCCGGAGCCAGCAGGCTTTGCGCAGGGGCCTGCCCCGCCCTCACGCTAGGAGAGAGGCCCGGGGGCCGCTCCCCAGGGCGCCGACGCCCAGCGCCAGGCAGCGCACATCTGACCCAGCCCGGGTGAGCAGCCCTCGGCGCTTCCCCTCGCAGCGGGAACCCCAGGCAGGCGCCGGGCTGTCAGCCGGAGGCCGGCACCGCCACCATCAGGGCCGCGCGTCTCACCTGTCTGAGCCGCACGTGGTCAGGGCTCCACGGAGCACCTGGACAGGCTGCAGCACACTTACAAGACGGCGCCGTGGCAGGGACACAGATGCGGAGCACCGCGAAACCCAAAGATCCGCGGGACGTGCTCCCCCGCGGTACTCGCGTTGCTGGGGCGGTCTGGAACCAGCCCCCCACTGCCCCGGTGAGCCTGCAGACACATTTACTCCTAACGCCGGTCACCACAGTGACTGTCCGTGCTGGCCATGGCGCCCCGGTCTGCCGTCACCCAGCCCCCAGCATCTCAGGCTGGGACATGTAAGCACGTCAGTGAAGACGTGTTGGGAGAATGGACGGCAGCGGCTGTCACAGGCCTGGCCCACACGGAGCCTCCTGACTACGGTCACACACGAAATAACTGTCAGACTAGACGATTCCACCATCCACTCTGCAGACTCAGCAGCAAGGGCAGATGAGGCAGGAAGCCCTGGATTGACAAAGTCGGCCTCGGCGAGTGTGTCTCGGGCACCCACCGCCCCACCGCGTGCAGAGCCAATATTCCCACGAGGACAGCAAAAGCCTCCTGCTCTGCCGTCCGGACGACACGAACGTCCGTGGCCAGGAAGAGACCTGAGAGAGAACTACGCCTCTGAAACGCCTCCGGCAGGTGCTAGCCGGCAGGACGAATCACAAAGCGCCGGCAGGTGCTGGAGTCCCAGCCCCTCAGAATCCCAAGTGGCCAGTGCGGGGCAGGCTGCCCGCCCCGGGGCCAGCCCACTGCCTACCTTCCAGCGAGGCATGCAGTCAGAAGGCTTCCAGTGGCCGCCGAGCTTGATGGCTGGGTCTTTGGAGAAGAGCTCGTGAATGTCATCCATTCCGATTTCGCTCATGTTTATATCTATGGGGCCCTCTGAACAGAGGTAAGAGGGGACAGTTAGAGGCCAGAAGGTGCCAGCGCCTTTCCTACATCCAGGGGCGTGGGCTGGGGAAGGCCGGTGCTCTGGCAGCTGGCTGTGGGTGGGCGCCTTTCCTGCTGTCCAGCCCACTGCATTTCAGTTTATCGCTGTCATGGGTGAGCAGCAAATCAAGAAACCAAGACTTGAGCTTCATTTCTGCCAAGGCTGCAGAAAGAAATGAGGCCTAAGTAAAACAGCAGCTGAAGCCGGGGAGGAAGGCAGAGAGCTGCTGCCCAGGGCCTTGTCTGGGCTGTCGAGGCGAGCGCAGACAGAGTCTGACCCACTCAGCAGTGCCCGAGTGACGTCTGAGCTGCAGAATGCGTCACCTCTGCTTCACTCAAGAAGTGGAGCTACCTGAACGCGCCGCAGCACAGAAAGTGTAACTGCTCACGGACAGTGCTTTAGACTACCCCTGGTGCTCCAAGAAAGAAAAGACGTGAGAACCTTAACTATGCAGCCAGGAAAACAACATCCCCATACTAAACAAGTCTGTAATCAGAGTGAGATTTACACTAGAAGACAAAGCCATCTGCTGAGCCTTCCTCCAGGGCATCCTAACAGGCCCCCAAGTTACACCGGAGGGGCGTGTGCAGAGCGGGGAGTGGAAACATGGCAGACAGGGGCCGGGCCCAGGCCTCTGTGGACGGGCCGGGCAGGAGCCAGGCCACGGAGGCTTCATGACCCTCGTCTCCGGTATCAGGAACATGGTCCTAGTCTGCTCCAGTGTGCAGGCAGCATCCCCAGCCCGGGTGGAGCGAGGGTCACTCACCAGGGAGGGGGAAGCAAGGGACACTCACTCATGGAAGGGAGCCTTTCCGGGCAGGTGTGGTTTGCGAAGTACGTGAAGTCTTCAGGGAGAAAGGTTGTGGTCTGCAGGAAGGTTTCACTGTGGTTCAAGTCAAGAGGGTAATCTGGGGAGGGAAGAGAAAAGGCAGCTGAGCAGGGCCACACCGGCTCTTAGCGTCCGGTTGGCCACACCGGCTCTTTATCGCGCTACAGAGCTGAACCAGGGATGGCGGCTGTTGGCCAGATGACACTACTTCAGCCACCAGTTGTATTTATTGTATGCACTCAGTTTAGAGTAATTCTACTGTGCAATTAAAAAATACATCCCCCCCCGCATTTTTTTGCCAAGTTTTTTTTTTCCCCAAGATTTATGTATTTGTGCATACAGAGCTGGGGTACAGGCCGGAGGTGCAGGGGTGGTGACAGGCTTCACCAGACACAGAGTGGGGAGCAGAACAGGCAGATCGACAAAGTACACTGCTGAGGGGAGCAGCAGGCGGGTCAGGAGAGGTCTGCCAAGCCATGTGGTCACCTCCCGGGCAGACGGGAATTGAACTCATGCGGAAGTGGCTTTAGCTTCTCAGTGCTGAGCTTTAACCCGCTGCGCCACCAGGGAGGGCCTTTTTTTTGCCAAGTTTTACACAGAAAAGGAGAAACTCAACACCAGGCCCTCCCTACATCTCTCCTACATCCACAGACACCAGGCCCTCCCTACATCTCTCCTACATCCACAGACACCAGGCCCTCCCTACATCTCTCCTACATCCACAGACACCAGGCCCTCCCTCAGTGCCTCCTCCCCAAGGCTGCCAGTGACCCCCAAGAGCGCGACTCTGCCCCAGTCCCCATGCTGCTCCACTACAGGGGGCAGGGGCGAGCCTCGCACTCAGCCCAGTCTCCCTTCCCTCACGCAGTGGAGAACCTTCTCCAAGCTGCTCCCCGAAAGGCGGGATGGAAAGTGATCTTGGGGCCTCGTGTACCCAGCTGCTTGTTCCTCCTCACCTGGACCCCAGTGTGGCTAGCTTCCAGAACCCGAGGCTGGGAATGACGGCCGTCAGCTTGGTGAGGTGCTGCCCGGCCCCCCAGAGCCCGCCGTGCCTGCGGTGCCCGGTCACCCCAATTCTGACCTTCGTAAAAGCTGACTAGTGATTTCTTCCCAGAAGTGAAGAACTTTTTCTTTGTTCGAGAAATTTCACGCTGGTGTGCGCTGCAGGACGTCCGCCTGATCACTGAGTGGGTCTTGAAGATCTGTCGGGACTTTTCCTTTGGGCCAGGGGAGGTGTTACTTGGTGATCTCCTCTCTTCTGCATTCTGTGCTCTTCTGAAGAGCAGAGAGCGTGACCGAGATGCTGGGCCTGTTCCACCTTGCTGTTTGCCTGTGCTACCTTCCAAGGTGTCCCCAGTTTCACCCAGATCTTCTTTAACAGTCTTTTCTGTACCACATATTCTTACTTTCCAAGAGCCCCAATTATTTTGTTTGTTTACTTTTTTTTCTGTTTGCGATCTCTAGCCCTTGGGAGCACAGATAATGGTCGTTTTCAGTTTTCTTCTTCGAGCACAGTCTGTTTCCCCCAGGCTGTTTTGACCTGCAGCTGCAACGGTGCTCTGTCTTGTGTTAATTAGCCAACTAGAGGGTTTTCACTGAGGTTCTTGATTGCAGGCTCTTCTTGCCAGGGGTCTATGCAACTCTCCTGCCAGAACAGGTCACTCTGGAGCTGAGCACCCTCCAGCCAAGGAGGAAAAAGGAGCAGACGGCACCCTAATCCATGCCACGTACCCCCAAATTGAGGGACCCTCAGTTTTACATCGCTGGAGGTAATCGAGTCTCCCTCCAGTTCTTTGTCAGGATGAGGAAAGGGATCTGGGCACCGTGAATGGCTTTCTAAATAGCTTTCAGCCAACTTTATCTCAGCTGCCACCTTTATTCTTATCTCCAAAAGTACCTAATGTTGCTAATTCCTGATTAAGGTGGTTGTTGGTTTTTCCTGCTGGGCCATGTACAGTCAGTTTTCCTGAGTCTACAAGTCATTTATCACTAGTCCACCTGCCTTCCAACTTCCAAACTTTTTGCTGTGGTCTCGCCTTTCTTCTCATCCCTAAGGGTTCATACATACCCTTAAATGCTCTCTCTAGTCATTTCAGTGGCATCTTAAGAGCATGAAGCAGACTGTCATGAAAGAACAGGAAGGGGCCCCCAAGCTCCGGGCTGGCTGTTTTTTACCTGTGGAGATACAGGACTGAGCCCCCACGCGGACGTCTCTCAGGAGGAGACGGCCAGCGCGTGCTGGCCGGGAGGCAGCACTCCAGCATGGGGAGCGTTCCAGTGTTTCTCTCCCACCAAACCTTTTGGGCTCATGATTATTCAACGAAAATCAAAGCTTCCTATAGATTCACTCCGTACCCTAGAATTCTAGCATCTTCAACTCAGGTATTAAGGGAGCACTGTGGGAGATCCCGAGGACCAAAGTGCTGCTACGGTGATTCCTTTTGCAGACACGTGGTGAACAGTCTGCACGTTCTCAGAAAACAAAACTCAGTAAGCAGCAACTTGGGGATTTCAAATCTCCTCACTGGAGAAGGGAGCACAGAGGTGAACGCCTTCTGCTCTTCTAGAGCACACGAAGCGGGCATTTGCACCTCTATCAGGCTGGAGATCAAGTCAACAGGAACCATAAAGGTGGAACTGCGTTTAGATTGGCCAAAGCCTGCAGTTCGTGTGTGCAAACTGGTCTAAAGTTGAGCCTTTGCTGAAGGTATTAACACCTCAATAAGCTACGTCAAGAACCAACAACACTAATTTATTGCTCTGGACAGTTCTGATTCTTCGCCTTAATATTATTGTGGATATGTGTATCTTAATCATATATCTTGTACTTCACGTACATTTTTAATATGTAAATGATTCTGTAAGACAAAAATCAAGTTTTCTGTGTATGAAAAATGTTTATGTTGCACGTGAGGAGGGAGTGAGCAGCTGGGGAAAGCAGCATCATGGCAACTGTATTTGCCTAGAAAATAAATCTCCAAAGTGTCAGCGGAAGCATTTTCATAAGCAAATCAACAAAAACAGAAGAGAACACTAATTCTGGGGCAGGGACCGAGCCCAGCCTAAGAGCCGTACTCTGAACAGGGAATGAGGGGAGTAAAGGCAGGAGACAAGGCCCTGCCTAGCTTAAGTCGTCCTGCTCTTGGGGCTTATTCTGAAGGCGCAGATAAACCCCAAGGCCTCCAAACACCCATTTAATAATAAGCCTCATAAGCCGTAGCAACCAGCATGAATCAAAACAAAGCCCAACTTTTCCTTCCAACTACTGAATTAATAATGACTCTTAAAAATCTTTCAAACAACTCCCAAGTGAAGTCTTCCATAACCTCTCCCCATTATATGGGAGGGGAAAAACCCAATTTCCTCTGGTTTCATTCTTTGCATAAAAGTGTAAATAAAATTTGCGTCTATTGTCAAAGGAAGCCGAAGCAGGAGAGCCTCCTGGCTCACAGCTGGGCTTCTGCAAACACCCGCCTCCTACTTTTCTGAGCTGTGTATCTGCTGAATGAGGGGACCTCTGAGAGAAGAACTTACAGCTGGTTTGACTTCACTGCTCAGCAGCCTCAGCCCATGAGCATCATCTGCGGGAAGGGGGGCTTTTAAAAACCCTAAGACCCAAGTCACACCCTGGACCCACTCAGTAAGAACGCCCGGGGGTGGGCTGCAGGCAGTGGTATTTTTTTAAAGTGCCCCCCTTACCCCCAGGGAGCTCAAGGTCCAGCTGAGGGCGACATGGCTACTCCAATGCAAGCTACCAAATGTGGGTGAGCAGGGACTGGAAAGTGGGGACCACAGATTGGGGAATGGGAAGCTCTGTTCCCTCCCATTTGAGAAATGACCGAAAACTGCCTCTCTGCTGGAAATGTGGAAGTTTGTAAACATGAGAAAGGTCGTCGCTGGGGCAGGTATGCGTAAAGCGGAGAAGTGGCACCGCCTACCTGCCCGGGGCGGGCGGAGACAGCGGCGGGCATTAGGAGGGCAGAGGCTGAGGACTTCACCCAGCCGGGGCGGGGCGCCAGCAGATCTGCTTCAAGCACGCGACAAGAGAGTGTGACGAGAGGGCGCTGGGGGGGCTGCGTGGGCCGGGAGGCTCGTGTGCTGGCCGGTACACCTCCAGTTAACACTGACTAGGCAGCGGCACCTAGAAAGTCGGATTTAAGGACGAGAAACACGGGCGCCCAGCCACACACCTCATCCACAAACGAAGGGCTGGGCCTGCGGGTCCGGAGATTCTCTTGGTGTCCGCGTCCCTCCTACCCTGCAAGTGCTTCAGGCTTCACGTTCACCCACACCAGGGGCAAGAAGCTTCCCCGAGTCACCACTTCAGGCTTATTTCCAGGCTCACAGTCCTGATTCCCCAAAAGAGATTCTTAAGAAACCTTCAGCACTTTAGCTTTCAAGGAAAGAAAGCAGGCAGGACAGAAGAGGCAGGCCGCCGCGGCAGGGGCGGGGGGATCTGGCTATCAGCATCTTCAGGCCAAAAACACCTGGACTCTGCTTAGCAGAGAACTGATTGGAAATGGAGGAACAGGAGGCTCTTCACCAGAGATGCTTCCCAGTGAAGCAATTCTTCAGCCACGCGAAAGCCAATCAAGATAACCAAGAATTACAATGCTCGTGTTTTCTTGTTAGAACTATTCACGGACACACTCAAAAATCACTTACCGCGAGCAACCTGTAAGCCACTCAGTGCACAGGCACCAGACACGGAAAAGACAGAGGCCGGGAGGGCGTCTCAGAGCTCGGGGGCTCGGCAGGTGCGGACAGTCGGCAGATCCCTGGGCCCCACCGCAGCCGGTGCTCTGGGCCTTGACCCTTGACCCGTTCGCCCCTGGGGCGGGGCACTGTAGTTGCTTTACTGAGCTCTCTGGAGGATGCACAAGCTTGTGCAAGTAACACCGTCCCCAAGGCAAAGGTGTCCCGTGTAGGGAGACAGATTAGCAAAAGTGAAGTGAATGAGTAACTACTCCACCGCAGGGTACCAACGAGGAAGAGAATAACCACCTTGGCAAGAGGTAGTCGGAGAATAAACGCAGGCCAAGTAGTCAAATGATAATGGGGCACTGGCTATGCCCCCTGGGTGCAGCTCACTTCTGTGCTGTTTGCAGAGATGACAACCCTTAGGGAATCTGTGCACTCCTGGGAGCAGAACCCCCAAGGGTGTAGGGAGGGTGGCCCCCACGCGCCTGCCTGACTTCTTGAGAGAGAACAGACTATCTCACCCAATGCCCAGCAAGAAGTTTTAGCATCATCAAGAACATGGGACAGCATGGAGTCCGACCAGCACAGTCGTCATGTGCAGAGCAGGGGCCCCAGCTCAAGTTATGGTCACCGCGTGTGAAAGTGGAAATAACATAGAAACCTGCCACCCAACTGAGCCACACTCAAGGCGAGTGCTCAGCTGGGTGGCAGGTTTCTATCATCTACAAAACTTGCCCCCATGTGAGCGAGTCCCGAGGGGACTCGGCCCTCCCCAGGCCTCGGGGGCCGCGGCAGCCTCGTGGGTCCAGTGCAGAGCACAGTGGGCTGGTCTGCGGCTAAGAGGCGCAGCTGACCCACAGCCTGCTCTGCAGACAGGAGGAAAGGAAGCGCCCTCGTCTCCAGGGCGCTCGCCCAGCCAAGCTGTGCTGCTAAGCTGGCCGGTTCTGTGAGGGATTTCACTTCCCTTTGAGAGGCAACTTCCTGGGGAGATCCCACAGACCACAGAATAATTCCCATCTGCCATATTTGCAAAGCAAATTCTGACTCTGCAGTGAGCAGAGTTCAGACAATCTGAAAGTCCTCCAGAGAAAGAGCAGGCTGACTTGGAGGAAAGTCTTTAAACAGGCATGCGCATTCCACCACACTGGGGCTGGTGACATCAGGAAGGAGTCAGTGAAGTGCTTTACTCCTCAGCAAAAGGGGTAAGAAGCAAATCATGAATGCCTAGCAAGAGGAAATCTCACCTCTCCTAAGTCAGATGGCAGAAGTCTCATGCCAGTCCCATTAACCGTCTGGAAATATACGGCCCTATATTCAGTTTTTGGAAGTTTTAAAAGAGCAAGAGAGAGACATAAAAAAGACAGCCTTCCTTTCAAAGGTAAAGAACTTGCCAGGAATACAGTCTTTTATAAAATCAGTCAAAATCGCGGTTTCAGAACAAGCTCTTGGAACGTCAGGCACGCCATCGGGCCTCTGTCTTTTCCCCTTTTTATCCGACTCGTGCTGCGAAGATGTTAAAAGCCACGTGAGTTTCAAAGGCGGCAGCAGGAGTGTCCTCCCTGTGCCCCCTGCTCTGTGCCCGTCACCGCCGTGTTCAGCTGAATCATCTGAAAAGTTTTCTTCAAAGCTGAGAGTGTCACCACCAAACCCAGGCTCGGGGCTGGGGCCAAAGCACAGGATGAGCCACCGGCGGGCAGGGGAGCCAGAGAAACTTCCAGGAGCCCTGAGCTGCAGGGACTGACCCAGGCTGGGGTGGGGGAAATTTGCTTGGTTTCACTACAGCATATGCAACCAGTGCATGTGTCCAGAAAGAAGTTTAGCGTCATCAGGAACTCAGGACTGTGCAGAGTCCGGCCAGCAGACGTCATGAGCACGGCCCTGGCTTGAGCCGGTAGTGAGCGGTGGGGCTCCACGCTGGGGGGATCCCCTCAGGCCTGCCCTGCGCAAGTCACTCACTCAAAGCAGCAAGGAAGCCCCAGACGGTAAAATTAGCACACTGAGCCCTCGAGCTGCATTTCCTCATTGGTGGCACAAATACAAATTATCAAATAGATACAAATTATCAAATGATTTCCAGAATAGCTTCCGGTGATCCTGTTTGCCGGTTCCCAAGTAGAGGCTTCATCTGCCTTGAGGGGGTTCAGACCTCTGAAGAAAGACTCCTAACCACCCCCCCAAAAGCATGAGGAGCGAAACGGAAGGCAGTCAGTTGTCCCTAAAATTAGCAAACAAGGACTGGAGGGGCCAGGGCTCGGATTTCAGAAAGGAGGCCGCGCGGAGCCTTCCCTCTTTTTCCGCACCAAAAGTGATTCCTCAAACCGACCTCACCTCTCCTGGGCGGCCGCGCCCACCAGCCCCCCGTCCGGCCGTACCTGAGTCGTTGCCGCTGCTGTTCCTCCGGGCATACGCGCTGCGCACCACCTGCTCGTACACCTGCGCGCCGATGGTCCGCATGTTGTCCCGGATCAGGATGCCCTGGGCCTGCATCATGAAGAGGTAGGTGTTCACTGCAGAGGACAGCAAAAGGGGGTCCAGAGGCATCGTTAGATCACAAGTGACTCGGGCGTGCCCCCCTTAAACCTCAGCTTTAAAGCAGGTACCATTTACTGAGCACTGGATGACACAGCGCCTTATTCCATTTACTCCTCATGATTATCCCAGAAGGGAAGTAATGCTCCCCAATTTACAGTGAACGTTGAGGCTATGGTTTCTTAGCGCAGCTTCAGGCAGGTCAGCTGAGGGCTGCAGTTCAACCAGAGGGACCTGTGTTCTTCACCACCAGGCTTATGCCCACATGCACTGCGTGCTACCTACAACCTCTCCCTCGAAGAGTTCATGGACCCACGGGGCTTAAGTGGTTGGCAGGGCGCTCGCAAACCTTTGTGCCCTGTGCACACTGCCAGACGGGTCTTCCTTACAGACTGACCCACACCGCTCTGCTGAAAAGCCCTCTGTCTCTGCTGCATTCTCCATCCACTTCTGCTCTCCCAGGTTCTGCCACACAGATCCTATTAATACCTCAAAACCCCCTAATCACCTCTCCAGTCTTTCCCTCCTCAAGTTTCTGCAGTGCTCTTACTGTTTACCAAGAATTTGGTTTGGTTTCTATTTTGTCTTCGTTTGCTAACAATTACCTCATGCGTTAGTATTGTCATCCAGCTAGGACATTCACAGATACTAATGTTTTTGTTTTTTTTTTTCTAATTCTCCACAGGAATTCTCACAATGCTGGGGGTGGGGGAGGAAAGGCTGAGGAAATAAAAATTGCCAAACAAAATTGTCACCAATTCATAAACTTGGGTTGGACGAGATTTTAGAGAACACTGCAATACTGTCAAGTGTTTCCACACCACTGAAAAACTTTACACCTTCCAAGAACACAGTCAGTGTGTAAACCACAGCCAACTTCACAGAAAATGCTGCTTTGGGTTGGATCCAAAGTGTTTCCCAGTCACTTTGACTTTCCCATCCTGTCCTTGACACAACGGTCATTTCCCACACATCAGAGGGTGGACAAGCATTTTCAGCCCTCCTGCCTTCACAGCTCTGTCCGAATTAACTCCCTCCGCCTCAGCGAGAGCCCCTCTTTCTTCCTGTGCCCCAATATCATCACAACTCTCCTCCCTATCCTGGCTGCCCTCCTCTGCACACTTGCCAGTGATCTCTGGAGAAGAGGCGCCACGCTGACAAGGAGGTCCGGGTGCAGGGATGGCCCACGGACAGCAGGGCCAGCAGCCACCCCGCCCCTCCCCAGGGCGCCTCCAGCTCCTCTTGGAGACGGGCAAGCGCCCATTACCATGGACACTGATAACAGAGTTCACGCTTCCCTTCCTGCTACGTCAGTGTTTGCCGAATGTGGGGGGTACAGCCAGCAGTCACACTGTGAGTGACTCATTCTAAACTCCCTGGAGACAAAATCCTCTTAATCTTTGTAGAGATGTCGCTGCTAAGCCGCCTGCTCAGCACCATGCAGCTGTGGCCCAGCTCACACTGCAGGACCTCGGTGTGGCCGCGAAGAGCATCGCTTCTAAGTGTGGCCTGTGGCTCTGGCTGGCAGAGGAAGTGCACGTACACTGCCTCTTGGCTCAAGTGCCTCATTCAAAGCTCGCATATTTATGAAGCGGCTACATCTTACTCATTATTCTAGGTAAGGAAGTTTTCCAGAGGTCATTTACCCAAGGTCACATGGTTAGTGAAGTGAAAAGGGACATGAGGTCGGGTGTCCATACCATTTCGGTAAGTCTTAATTTGAAAAGCAGCGCTTTCCTGCACTGTGGTCCTGACCGCAGTGGCTGAGTCACAGCTGAAAGGCCAGTGGCAGTGGGCACACAGCTGTGAGAGCCTCCACTGTGCAAACCCGCGTCCGCGGGACACCTACATCCCCGCGTGATTCTCCACACACAATACGAGGCCTCAGTAGCCCAAGGCCGGGCACGGTACGGGCAGAGCATGACGCACGAGTAGAGAGTAAAGCCTTTTCATCACACTGAGCTCACCAGTCACTCCTCGACGCAGTGAGTGACTGTAATTACTGCCCAGCCCCAGTATCTACGTGGAGGAATCTCTTAGGACCGTAATCAGATGAGAAAAATAAGCCCCAGCCAGCTTAACCAAATGGAAATTTCCACCTGCATGCACGGTTAACAGCCACAGGCGGTGGTTTTAATGGGGGGGGGGGGTTCCTGGGAGCAAACTGTTAGGTCTCCTGCCCTCCGGCCACGTTTCAGCCACAAGGCGGAGGACATCTCTCCCCTGCCCACTAGGATCCCGGTCAGCCTCCCTGTCCCCGTGAATCAAGTAACCCGATTTTCACTTGAACACACTTATTTATAAATGACTGTCACAGAAAGCCTCACAAAACAATGAAATCTGACATTCCGGATTAGGAGCAAAATAATCTGACACAACGAACCCAAAAGGAGAAGAACTTAAAAAACAAATTCCTAATATTTTATCTGAGCATGTGTATGCTAAACATTTATTACAGTGACTTGTTAAGCTAGAAGAACTTAGTAAAAAATGTTATTCCATTCCTGACCACTCTTCAACTGCCCCACCCCACCCCACCCGCCACACACACCCGTCTCCTCTTGTGACAATTTTCTTTCCAGCATGCTATGTATTTTCTTGTTTCTCCTGTCTGGCATTGCTTCCTCAGGAGAACGTGAGCCCAGGAGGGCAGGGACCACTGCCGACTTCCTCCAGTGCTGTGTCCCCCACCCCCACCCTACCTGTGTCTGGGACACAGAAGAAGCAGAACAAATATTTGAATGAATGGTATCTAGGTCAGGACAACCAACAATTGCGTATTCTGAACTCAGCTGTGTCAAAGGAGGTCAGAATATGAGATTTCAAGACTGTCTCCAAATGCTGCACTAGCCCGATCCTTTACGAGAGGGAACAGAGATGTTCTGGGTGATCCAGTGTCCACGTGCTGACCTGCCCTAAAGTGGCCCCCCTGGTGGTGCAGTGGGTTGGAGCACAGCGCTGTGAAGCTGGCCGTGGCCACTTCAGTACACGATCGATCCCGGCCCCGGAGGGGCGCGGCAGACCTCTCCTGTCTCCCCGCTGCTCCCCTCAGCAGTGGACTTCGTCAACCTGCCTGTCCTGCTTCCCACTCTGGCTCTGGGGACTCCTCTCACTGCCCCTGCACCTCTGGCCTGTACCCCACGTTCTGTATGCATAAATAAACCTTTTTTTTTTTTAAAGTTTTATTTATTCGTACAGAACTAGGGTACAGGCCAGAGATGTGGAGGGTGAGAGGATTCACCAGAGACAGAGTGGGGAGCAGAACAGGCAGGTCTACGAAGCACACTGCTGAGGGGAGCAGCGGGCGGGTCAGGAGAGGTCTGCCACGCCATGTGGTCACCTCCCGGGGCGGGGATCGAACTCATGCGGAAGTGGCTTAAGCTTCTTTGTGCTGTGCTTTAACCCGCTGCGCCACCAGGGAGGGCCCATAAATCTTTTTTTTTTTTTAAAAACAAAGAAAGAAAAGAAAAAGAAAAGCTCAGCAGTTTCATTTTATCATTTGAGCAGAGCAACCCAAACTATGTTGTTTCCAAAATATGTTCACCTACTGGAACTCTTATTCCTCACAGAGTTGCTGTTTCCTTTTTTTTCCCCCTTCAACATTCCTAATAATACAGAATTTTACTGAAAATCTTGTGCCATATAAGTCATAACAGAAGCACCATCCAAAGGAGACTGATGAACACATGGGTGGAACACTACAAGGCAATAAAAAAATGCCCTATCAAATTGTTCCAAACTGGAAGAACCCAAAAGTCCATCCACACTACAATAAAAAAAAAAAAACTGCAGCGTTGAGTGAAATAAAATCTCAAAACAGTTATTAGTGTTGGGAGTGACCAAGTGCGGGATTGGATAAGGGCAGTAATAAATTAGGCGGTAATAAACGGGGCCCTTGCATCCAATTAACTGGGCCTTGCATCCGGGATGGGACTAAAAGAAGGTGATATCGAACTGGGCCTTACATCAGGATAATAACGAACTGGGCCTTACATCAGGATAATAACGAACTGGGCCTTACATCAGGATAATAACGAAATGGGCCTTACATCGATGAGCTACCCCCTTTGGAATCTGAGCTTAGAATCTGTATAAGAGACCCTTCCCCCCTATAGAGCAGGCAGTAGCTGCCGGCCCCACCCTAGGGTTACATACATTTCAGCTGCTGTCCGGGAGCAATGAACTCTGCTTGCTCAGCCTTTCTGCCTCCCGCCTTCCTTTCTTGCGGCGGTCACAGAAGCCGGGACAAAACAATTAGATTTACTAAATCATCAAAGCAAGGATCAAACTCAGGAAGCACCTGACAGATATTCCCTGTGAGAAGTGTTCCAGCAATGGCATTTGAGTTTAGTTTGCGCAGACAGGGACAGTGAGTAATTCTTCTTGAGCAGGGGTGGAAATCCGGGCTTTCATCTGCAGGCTTAGCTCCTTCCTAAGCTACCTAGGCCTGAAGCGGCGCGGTGAGATCTGGCTCAGAGGGCCGCCGCTGGGGCCGAGTCCATCCTGGAGCTGGGCAGGGCTGCTGCAGCGGCAGACTGCTCCGTGGCTGCAGCAAGTGCGGGAGGGAGCCAGGTCTGAGTTAGCCCCTGCAGCGGGCTCTGCTCTCCTGCCCGCGAGGCCAGGACTGGGGGCCCATCCGCAGAAGCTACTGGATTGGAAGGGGGCATCTGGGTCTTTCTTTCTTGACCTGGATATTGGTAATTTTGTAAAAGTGAAAAAAAAAATGTGCCTATTTGTTCATATTCAATAAAATTTACAAACCAAAAGAAAGGAAACCCTAGGAAGTTATTTCGAGAATGTTATTAAATGAAATGGGTTTTA